TTTTCTAAGATCATAGTAACCTCTCCTCTCCACTGTTAGAATTAAATTGAGAAGGGAAATTAAATCTGAACTAAATCTTCGTAAAAAAGAAAAATCTTCCTCTTTTTCTAAGATTACAGCATACTTCTCCTCACTATTAGAAGCAAATTGAGAAATAAAAATTAAATTAAAATTAAAATTAAGTCTAATAAAGTTGGCCAAGTTTGTAAAAGAACCTTCTTCCTGGTTCAGAACAGAGCTCGACGGTGACTTTATTCCACGGTATTTAAAGGAGGAATAGTAGGAAGGCAAAGTTGGGTAACGCAGTGGTTAGCTGAAGCGATCTGAAATTTGAAGGAGCGCAAACGCGCATAGAAACTGTCGTTTCTAACTCGACTGTCTTCCACCGATAACGTTTCACCTTTCGTCTAGTCGTACTTTCCTCTCGGTTCATTCACAAGCAAATATCACGCGAATGTAATGTGTAACTTGTAGAAAATAACGCTAACTCAGGTAGACACTTTCCTGAGATACTAACTTCGTGGCAGTTTCCACGAAGTCAAACACACCAACTGGTTGAAACGAATTCAGTTCACGAAATTCTCAATGAAACTTCAATATTATCTACTTATTTTTATTCTTTAATTCGTACAACTTGCGATCGATACTATCAAATCACACATTGAGAAATTAATAGTACAAAATTATTTTTAATTTGATATGAATCTCTATTACAAGAAATTTATTTACTGAGTGGACCATTTAAAACAGGCCATCTAATTATAACATTCTCTAGGTATGACGTTTGAAAGGACGAATAAGATGGAAAAAAATATTCTTGATAGAAGAAATGGTAAGAAATAGAAGGCGGTTTCACGCTTCATTCAAAATTTTAGAGTCCAAGATTATTTGAATGTCTTAACATCTACCCTGCATATTAGGAAAGCTTGGTTAACCCTTTGACAGTCTAACAAAATTTTGAATTACGGTAAAAAAAATTTAGATTTTACTTAAATGTGTTATAATTTTTAAGACACAATATACATAACACTTCGTCATAGTTACGACAATAATATCTCGTCCCTTTCTAACTTTCTTCCTAAGAGTCTCTCTCGAGTTAAACAGTTCGCTATTTAACGCTCTGCCCGAGAAATATGGATTAGAATATACAGTACCGGCCAAAAGTTTGGAATCACTGAGCATTTCAATTTGCACAAAAATTTCCAGAAAAAAGTCAACGACTTTGAGAATTTTTTATCGTTCGAATCAACTGATATGAGATAAATTGATAAAAGTAGAATTGAGATAAACTTCAAATCTATAAAAAATTAGCAGCAGATTTAATATTGACGAAAAGTGGGAGGTGATTCCAAACTTTTGGCCGGTAGTGTACATAGATATACAATTTTACATCACAAATTTAAGTTGCACACAATAATAATACAACATATCACCGAATAAAACCTGAAAAAATTCATAACGAGCACAGTGCGTGTGCTTCTCACCTGACTAATTTATCCAAAAAATAATCTCAGAGCGTACCTGTCTAGTCGCTCAAAATAGTCCTATTTAAAAAATGCAAAAGAAAATGTACAAATTGTTTCAGCTTGAAAAGTAAAGTGCAAATTATTCGTCCCTCTACGTACAGAGAATCTCTTCACCGCTAAAGGACACGCGTAAGCGCATAAATGGATACGCTGTTGCAGGCACTCAGCTGCTTGTCCTAAAACCCCACGTTTGAGAGTTGCATTGTCCGCGGGACATTGCGCATACGCAAGTGAATCATGCATGTACGTCAGATCACAGTCATCATACTCACTCGAGCACTCGTATCTTCTGTACGTGCTGGAATGTCTGAAATATGCCTCCGTCGTTGGCATACACGCGAGAACTAATGCACGTGGATCGCTTGACATTTTCAAGACAAGAGTAAACGTGGGCGTACTCGAATCCAGTTCATTTAGTCTGTGAAATTGTCACGCCGGTGAATGCATCAACGCGATACCAATTTCAGAACGATCGGACGAAACTTTGGTAGATTAGAGTTGAAAAGGTGACAGGGATGTGGGAATTAGGCTAAAATTATCAGGACAGCGTATCTGGACTTCTATTCGATTTCTAGGTCTAGTCATGACGAACTTGAATAATTGCGTTTGAAGCAGAATGCAGAGAAATTAGAGAAATGTTATTAATTTTGTATAAACATGAATTACGAGTCTAAAGTCCAAAGGAAGAGAATAAATTTTGACATTCAAAGTTAGTAGATTTTTAAATTAACAGATTCTATAATAAATTTTTATTTTTTAAAATAAATATTTATATGACAAAAACTGTTCGGTAGAATATGATTTATTGTAATCAACATTTTGCAAATTTCAACTCCATGCGTCTAGAATATGTGAATTAGTGAAATAAAAAAAAAAAAATAAACGGCAAGAGAAATCATCTTTTACGCATAATTTCAAATGAAGCGTTAGACAATACTTGTACCTTTTAATTTCAACTAACAACTTTGCTTCGAAGTTGCAACAGTTACTATCAGTACTTGATTACTGCTTTAACATTCGAATTGTTCCGAGAACTACATGTTAATTCCATCTCATTAATAATTCATTCGAAACCGAAGCAAACTTAATTCGAAAAATCTGTAACATGGAAATAAGTCACTTTTCTACCTCGTTGACCTACTCGTTAGTATAATAATCATGTAGTACCAATTAAGTACGCCCAAAGGTGAACTAAAAACATTGCCAACTCCATTTTTACCCTGTGCTCCTCGACTTCTCGAGCAACGTATTTTAAGCTTGCCTGCTATAGTCACACAGGAAACAGTATTCCAGAACGTTGATGTCCAGAATTAGCTATTTCGTACGATATTCAATGCAAAGTTAAAACGAACAAAACGGTATCCGACTACGTACACAATAAGATCAAAGTACCATTTTCAATTGGAAAGTTCATCATTGCCACGTAACTGTAGCGATAAAGAAATTGTACAAAGAATAAATTCTTAATTTTCAGATGAAATCCACGTAGCAGCGATGAAGAAGCGTGGCAATCACGAAAACAAAACCGTCGCTAGAGCTCGACACAATGAAACGAACGACACAGACGATAAAAAGAACGCGAAGAACGATAAGAAAGACGAGCGACTTTTAAGCGATGACGTTCATAATCAAGGTTTCAGCGAGTGGTTACGATCCAGCGACGGACTCGAAATGATGCGGCTCTTCGTTATTGCCAATTCGATTCTGATTTTCTTCACTATGGGACTGCCTAAGATGCAGGAGCTTATCAGTACTCTGAAAGAGTACTATTACAGTGAATAAGTGACACTTTGCACTATAAAAATTGTAGAAGTTGAAAAAAAAACCGAATAAACGTCACTATTGTAACGTCACAGTATACCAATGAGAAACAAACAACACGATTCAAGCTGAAACGTAAAAGCGCCTGTAACATGACTTTTTTCAAACAATTCAGCGTTTACCACGTGCTCGGTACTACAAATTACTCCTCGTTTCTCGCGAGTGTAAATTCTAGACGCACGCCGGTATTAGTGTAACGCGTAACATGACTCAACATCAAAGAGAGTAACGATAGAGAAATATTTATTTTACCTCGCCTGTAACAAGGTATCGAGTGTACCTCGCGATCGTATCGAGGTATCGATTCTCGAGGTCGCTGGCTAAATATCTATCCACATTCTTCCTCGACTTTCTTCGAATTTACTGGAGAAACAATTTCTCTGACTGAAAATTCTCTCACAAATTCTATTAGATAAAGATCGTTTACACATTCAATTTCTCAAAAAGAACAGTTCAACCGAGAGGCAATCATGCTGGCTTTGCTCGTCCGCGGCGTCTTTCTCATTGGTATACTCACCTGGTACAGCACCAGCGTGTGGAAAATGATCGACGGCTACTTCAGGGATCAGGTACGAAGCTACCTGGAGGAAGAGTATCGAAAGAATCCGCGAATGAAGTCTGACGTGCACGGCGACTCGGTCGATAACGTCGATCCCGTCCTTGCCACGCCACGCCCAGAGGCGACGGTGGCGCCACGGGAGATCCCCCAAGTCACGGAAACGGAGGCGCGTACGGTCGAAGCGGCGGATAACGATACGACGAGCGTGGTCGGAGAAACGAATGAGGAGTTGCTGGTGACAGGTGGCACTAGTGAAAACGAGGACGCGGGGGGATCCACCGATAAAAATGCATTCCTGGGAACGGTGGCGGAATCGGGGCTGGAAAGTAGGAAGTCGTCCGAGGAGAACGTGGAGAATTCTCGCGAAACGATTAATCAAGAGGACGACCGTGACCTCGAACGTCGCGGGAATGACCATTGTCATCGATCAGTCTCACAGGAGTCTAAGAGCTCGCGGAAGAGAATTAAATACGAGAGGAGGCCGACAGCGGTCCCTAGGGACATTTCGCGCGAGAATCAATTGCCGAGAAGGCGGAACGTGAGGACGATCGTGCTGACAGAAAGGGACTTTAAGTCGGTCACGAAGAATCACGTCTCCGACGATGAGTTCTGGGAGTTCGAGGAGGACGCGTGCGAAAAGGAGCCACTGGAGGGTATTCCGGTCTCGCAGCTACCTTTCAAGCCCAGAGCAGATATAGGGGATTTGGATAGAGTCACCGCTGACGAGTATTGTCCTCTGACGTTGGAGGACGAAGCGTCTTGCGGCCAAACGTTCACGTGGTTTTAAAAATGTATCACTAACGAACGGGTAAACGCAAGGTGCGTTTGGTAGATCGTAAAGCTTCTGTTTTCACGCGGACCTGCGGTGAAAAGACGAAATACCAATTCTCAAGGGTACGCTCGCTGGAGATGCAATTATGGTAATTTCTTTTTTTTCACCGACTTGGTCAATTGTGTAATGAAACGAGGAATCTGGGTCGAGCAAGCATTTGAACGGAGTTAATGAAAGTGTTGTTATGTATAAATGTTTGCAAAATGTCTCTAGGATGTTACGGCCACTCTGAAAAATATTCAGACACTGTGAGCTTGCCTTTCTAGTGATATATTTTGGTTAACCATAAAAGAATTTCTTCGATGCTTTTTCCTCAGGAAATGTCATTTATTGTAATTTAGGATTACGTATTGTTACGTCAAAGTACTACGTTATATAAATATTTAGACACTTAGGAAAAATAAATATTCGTAACATAATGTTCGTATTATTCGCATTTATAATATTTAAAATATTATCATGCCTTTATATAAAATAATACTATTACATTATTATTAAAATGACTCAAATATTAATCTTTCCTGTGCCATATTTAATCCCTATTCTTTTTAGTGTCTGAATATTTTTCCGAGCAATCAAGTGTTCGATTTTGTCACATTTGATTTTGTTAATTTGCCGTTAGATTTAAGCTATGTTTCGTATAATTTCGCAAACACGCATGATTATGTAAAAACTGCTACGGACGCGAATAAATGTCATCAATGTATAGTAATTTCATGGTACCCCCGCGTGTTTATTTTTACAAAACCTTCGAAAACTGTTTTGTAAATAAGAATGTACACATAATACGTGGACGTTATTGACTTTTTGCCTAGCTGAAGAAGTCCCTCTCGACAGGAGGTTGCAAAATCTGCCCCGTCACTTCAAGTGCACACGTGATGCAATTTCTCCGCGAAGAAGAAGCTTCTTCGCCTGTACCAGGTGAAAGAAGTTTGTCTTCCCTGAACTTTAACGCGATAAACGATACATCTCGGCGATTCGCACATGATTAATCGGCGAGAAGAAAACGAAAACAGAAGTAAAAAGAAGAAGAAGAAAACGACGATCTGGGTCAATGTTAATTACACGATCCGTATGAACTTTCTTCTGTCGACGGAACTTACTCAAGGGTATAAAGTAAAGTCTGGGAGACGTGAGAAAAACGGTGAACGTGAAGGGAAGATAATCAGTTTAACGTGAACTGATTAAACGTTAGTGAAAGACCGTGTTGCACGTACGAGAAAAAACAACGTGACGCGTCCTGTTTTAATAACTTAATTGCCCTCTTGAACGAGAGACATTGAGCGACAAATGCAAAGGAAAAAACGGAGCAATATTAATAATGGAAAAGTTGAAAAAATATTTGGAATAATTGTTGAATTTAAAGACTTGGAAAAATAAATAAATGGAAATGGGAAAGTTAAAAATATTAACGAAATTAAATGAAAGGGGATTGAAAAATATACGAAAGCTACTGTGAAACAATTTACAGTCGCTAATAATTAACTTAGGAAACGTAAATAATTTAAAAAATAAATAAACGCCAATGGAAATGGGAAAGTTAAAAATATTAACGAAATTAAATGGAAAGGGATTGAAAAAGGCATAAAACCTAATATAAAATAGTTTAAAGTCGCTAATAACCAAGTATTTCATGCGACTTAAATCACTATACAAAAAAAAAAAAAAAAAAAACAATAATTCCAGGGGCTCCAAGCTATAGAAACGTGTTACAATGCGCACAAATAGAGAAACTGACCTAATTTTGCACACAGAGAGATCAACCGTGAGATTCAAAAAGTGCATTCGTTAAGACAAACAAACGTAAAAATTGCATACAAAAAGACTTTCCAATGAAACAGCAGAATTATGGAGACACGACAAGGTCGCAAAAGGAACGCGAAAATTAACACACAAAAGACGAAGAAGAAATCGAAGATAATAATAAAATCAGATTAATAAATTCCTAGCTTTCGTTAATTTCTTAATCCGACTGCACTGAACGAGCAATCGTAAAATTTTCCATCGTATGTTTCATTTAGTTTTACGAAACAGTCGCACGGTTATTACATCGATCTCATTAACGAGATACTTTCCTCTCTGCAAGCAAACACTCTCGTGACCAGGATGGCCGCAGAAACAAGGCCACCGCGGTGTCCTTTGACCCTGAAATTACAGGCTGATATAAGCGAAACTAGCGAGTTGCCGTGAAAGTGCGGAGAAATTGCGATTTATAATCTGTACGCGGCAGCTTTACGATTGCCAGGGAAACTGACTTACTCGCGACGGAGGGAACGTGATGTGCGAAAAGTTTCCGCCTTCTATCTTGTTCGTCCGCAGTTCTTTTCGACCGATAACAGCTATCACGCTTCCGCGCATTAAGATATTGTTGACCGGTTGATGTTACTTTCGCACACTACCGAACAAGGAATATGTTTGCTATACGACCTGGGTGATAATACTCCCGTGCTGGCTGCGAGCGAAATATTTTCACGCGAGTATTTAGTAACTGTTTTTAGCTTTTCTGCGCTATTTTCAGCGGGGAATGTTAATTGCTGCGGGTATGTTTAGATTTTCTAATTGGGCGTAATGAGTGCTTTGTGGAAACAGGGATAGCTAGTATTGGTGTTTGCCAATTGTGTCGCGATTCTGCGACTCTTTCCTTTGGAGAATTTAATTTTCGAAGGTAAATTAGATTTCTTTTTTTAAATTGAGAATGTCGCGATTTTGAAGAATTTAATTCTGAAAAGTAAATCAGAATTTTTTTTAAGAATTGAGGATGCCCCGATTACGAAGATTTCAATTTTGGAAAGTAATTCAGAATCATTTAAGAATTGAAAATGTCCCAATTATGAAAAATTAAATTTCGAAAGTAAATCACAATTTTATTTAAGAACTGAGATCATCGCCACTTTGAAGAATTTCATTTTGGAAGATAAATCAGAATTTTATTTAAGAACCGAGAACGTCGCGACAATGAAAAATTAAATTTAAAAAGTAAATCAGAATTTTTTTGAGAACTGAGAACATCGAAATTTGAAAAAATTTAACTTTAGAAAGTAAATGAGAAGTTTTTCTAAAATCAAGAGCGTAATTACCTGTGAATCGTAAAAGATTCGAAAGCCACAGTACCCATGATATAATTTTAGTATTTTCTAACGGAGCTTAGATAAATAATATACTAATTCCACTTTTAACGCCTGACAAAGATCTCAATTGTAAAAGCTACAAACTTCTAATTAGATAAATAATGCAAATAATTATTTCTAATTAACGTATACATGTTATCCAATATAAAATTCATAAAATTTCTTAATCAATCCTAAAAATACATATACTCCTCTTACAAATTTCTATAATTTCCTAACATTTAACACACTGATCTCGAAAATCTGCGACATGTTGCAATAAAAGGAACAGTTATAATGACTAACAAAGCGTGAGTGTCATTTCTAATCAAAATGATTTGAAGATTACATCATCGTTATCGTAAAGTAGCTTCGACACTATATATGTACAAGCAACTCCAAGTCTTAATTAAAATCAGGTACAAATTACGCATGTACACAGCGTACTGCGTACCCACATCATTAGTTAACCTGCTGTCACGTAGGTGTGTATACAATTAATCACGATAATCTAAGCAAATTAAATTCCACAACGGTGATATAATTACTAACCAAACAGTTAAAAATATATCAAGAAATATTATATTTACATTGACATTACGTATCAACCCTTTGAACTCCAAATTTTTGTTTAAATTTTCTTCTCAGTAACTCCCTATTATTTTAAGAATTTTATTGGAAACGCACTTCAAAAAACATTTAGTCGATGCGAACCAATTCAAACAATTTTCTTTACTAATTATATCGAAAATAGCATATGTGTACCTATTGCTCATCCAGGTAAAAAGAATATTGCAAAATATAATACATACTTAAACTGGTAAATTAAAAATTCCTTCATTCACACCTGTGAGTAAAACTGACGTCGAGTCACACTCGACAAAGGAGCCCAAAGGGTTAACAAACATTCAATATAATTTCCTATTACAAAGAAAAAATTCTAAAACAAAATAATCAATCATTCACCCCCTGAATTTCGAACAATTCTACCACTTCAAAGCCCAAAATTATATAATTTAACCCATAAACGTGGTTGATGCTACTTTAAAAATAAAAGCCCAAAGCTACGGATAAAAAAATGAATACGGTCAAATAATTCCTACCCTAAACATTACGCGTACAAACGAACGCCGTAATTCGAACGAAATATCGAATTCACCTCGATAAACAACAAACCCACCCGTACAATATTTCACAGGTATTGAAGAAAAAGATTTCAAGATCCCATTACCTCTATTATACACGCGTATCATCGTTGCTTCACATTCGTTCTCTGGCAAATTAACGAACCGGCGCGAAATTCGCATCGTTGAACGCGACGTTCCCATTTTCCAGCAAAACCGTTCCACAGTCGACATTGAAATTAATGATTTAGTAACGGGCGTCCGAGGCAACGGTTAATGCAAATTAGAGCACGGATAGCTAGACGTGAACGCAAATGCATCAAGGAAATTCGCTCATTATTATTCCGCGGAGAGAAAAGGCTTACGCGCGCGGCGAAGGCCGTCTGGATGGTACTTTTATTTTTGTACACATCATACTAAGAAGCGAATTAAAGCAAATAACAACAACAGGTGTAATTAGACGGTTTACAAATTGGCCTGTTTCTAATTGAAACGCCGACGAGGTTAAAAGCTTCACAGCACCCTTGTTTTCACGCAACAACGATTTAATCGCCGCTTCTTCTTCTATCAGCTGATTACGATCTGAGAGATTTCAGGCTATTCGAAAAGTAATTAGTCCTGTACAGGAACGAGTACAGCGATTAGACTCGTGCCAGGTGTGAAATTACAGTCAACACCGTTTTGCGTGACGTGCAGAAATAGCTGATTCTCGAGTGTAATTAGAGGAATGGGTAATTAATCGTTAGCCTGATTGTTTCACGCGAATGTTACTTTGTTGAGAAGAAATTTGTCGCGAGGGAACCAGCTGAAATATTCTATTCGATATTTGAAATTCATGGTAAAAAAAATGTATTTTATTTTTATACGATATTTATTTCATATTTAAAATCCGTGCTAATGG